GTCGTAAGTATTCATCTTCACTTTCCAAGGAGGATTGAACCAAGTTGTCAATCGCTGGATTATTAACCCCTGGAACTGAGGACATCGTTCGAGTAAGAAGTTTCAATTACAAAGCACTAATAATCGATGCGTGTGTGTAACGCTTAACTTCTTTTCCAGGATTAGTGCCATATTTAGTAGGTATTTGCCCCTACAAATATATCTCTAAAGAAGACGAACACGACACGAATTATGTTTAAACCAAATATTAATATGATGTTTGAGACCGTGAAGCCGAAGCTCAGTACCAGTACCACCTCTCGTTGCATTAGTAGATAATCAACTGCAATTGGCCGTTAGTCTCGTTACAAGCGTGTCTTGGGGTGGAGCTATACCATGCAAATTGGCCGCATTGCCCAGAGTATTCCGTTTCCAAGCCAGCGGAGATCGATCCAACACTCACAATTGAGTACCGCGTTACTAATGTGAGTGCAGTTATAACAGCCGGGTTTCGTGTCATGCCATATCTATGGGAGTCATCGATAAATATTGGGGCAGGCATATTTTTAGGCGCGTTCTCTATCCACATGGTGTTTCTTTCCTGCTGCCAGCATTTGTAATCACACTAGTCAAAGGAAAGGAGAACAAAGTTTTGGTTATGATGCGTACAACTGATGCGTACAACGGACTAGTCTTTAAAATGGAATTCTTTTCTAGAACCTCACCGCCCGTTCTCTGTCTTCTTTTCTTGATCTGGGGACACTTGCAATAGCCCTAGCGTTTCTTTTTTCGGTAATATTCAACAAGATCCGTACTGCTTTAGTAGTTATTATTAACAAGCGGTGTAATTATTAACATGGCAATAGGGTCAATTTTCACTACGACAAGCATTACCGTGCTCTCAGCATTGTCAACAAGGCAAGCTTGAATCCGTCAGGCAATGGATAACATACTCTTTACAGCACGGATCGGATGGATTACACAGCACGGACCTGATGGATCTTTACAGCACTGAGTACTTTATGTTGCTAATACGTGGTACTGTCTCAAGTACTATTTATTACGTTATTCAGAAAGCTGTTTTGAATAGGCGAGACAAAGCAGGACAGACGTGAAAGTTTCCTGGAGAGCGGTTTATGGCATATTGATCCAGAAGAGGCTAGGTCAGAAGGCGATGACGTCCGAGAAGAGTTTTAGACAATCAGTTTCTATTAGATTCTTCACTGGTTATAAAGAGAATACGCAAAGAATACCCGAACGGAAATGTGGATGTAACGGTTGCTGTCGAATCGAACATGATTTTGGACTGTTGGATCCTAACGATGCTGGTACGTATAATAGGAAAAGGGGGGAGAGAGAGGCTTTACATGTTTATTTATTTGATTTCGATAATAATTTTAAATTTAGGCAAAACAACGCTTCTCAGCATTCTGACGGGTCTATCCGACAACAAAAGGCGATGCAATTCTCAATGGCTTTGATATCAAGACTCAAAAGTCTACATGAGCATAGGAATATGTCCTCATCATCATATTCTTTGGATGATTTGACAGTGGGCGAGCACCTACTCTTCTACGTCCGTCTCAAGGGCGTGCCTTCAAGCCAGGAACGTGCAAAGGTGATAGAATTATTAGAACGCGTGCGTCTAGTACCATTCGATTTTGGATGAACCCACCACCGGACTTGATCCGAAAGTTAGACGTTTGATCTGCAGCGAGGCGAAAACTGGACAAACGATTATATTGAAGAGGCAGGAGTTTTATCAAGGGTTATCATTATGGCCCAAGGAACGTTAAGATGTATTGACCACAATTAAGAGTATGGTCGAAGTTTTAAATTGAGCTTTTCGGGTCAAGCGGAGAGCTATTGGGTATGTTGGGTACTGTTATGTTACGTATGGCTTTTGGTACGTGTGATGATAAATATAGATTTAGTTTAACTTGACTTTTAATACTTTTCTTAGCTTCATCGAGTCATCACATCCACCAACAGCAAGAAGGCTTCCTAACTTATGAATTCTCGCCAGAGCCTGGATTGATTTCAAACGAATTGAGAGCGATGAAAGATATTTTGGTGTGTGGATAATTGGGTTTTGAGTCAAACAACGTAAGTTTCATCCGAATATTGAAGATAACTGTCGTCCCATTCTTCGATCCCAGTCTAGAGGAAGTTTTCTTGATCGGGGAAGGTGGAGCGGATTCTGAATAGGTTTTCGGATGCACGGTTGACCTTATGGACCAAAATATAAACACAAGAAACCTTAGCCCTTATGCTAAGTATCAAAATACGGAGGAGTGGGTTATTCTTTCGCACTTATTAGACGAATTAATAGATATTCAGGAATTGGGGAATTGATTGGTTTATTTAGACTCTTCTACAGACATTTTTGCGAATTTTTAAAAAGATCTATTTTAATTGGTGTATTGTATGTGTTCATATACACTGTCCCCCCCCCCCCACACACACACACACTCCCGACCCCTCTCTCACCCCTCAACAACCCCATCTTCTCCGTTCTCTCCAGTCTGCAGCCATGCTCACAATATGGAATGCCTTCACATCAAGAACCTTCAGGAACAAACCCACATCTTCCGTCTCACACAAACTTGATCAACTCCGAGGACACCTTCTCTTTCTCCGCATTCTACATATAGACTCACTAACTCCCTGGGTAAACCCCACTAACATTCTTTCCATTATCGCCCGTTCCAAGTCTAGATACATCTCCCCCTTCCCTTAATAACACAGATCGACGCCAAATATAGGGCTTTATTCTCTTCCTCTGCATGTATTGTAGATAGATAAAAACAGCTCAAACTGGGCTTTAGCGAGCACCTGTTGTGAATAAAAGTCCCTCGCGATAGTAATGTATGTGTTATTTAGCTAATTACAAGTGGCTCTCAGTATTTTTACTGGACCCGATTAAAATCTTATAACAAATAACTTTCGTTACAAGAGATTTTCGATATAGGAAGGAATTTGTTGGGCCCCGATCACTTTCTTATATCGAGAGCCACTTGTAATAATCATTCTATACGTGTGTCAGAAACAAATTGCCATTACTCCATGTAAAACATTGCTCGTTTTGTCAATATCACTAATAAAAATAAATTAATTCGCTCACCCAGAAACTGGGCATTAACGTTTGAGAATTAACGCAAATAAATCTTCCGTATGGGTTTACAGTGAGTGAAAGAACAATATACAGTACGTACTTTATAACATGTCCACTTTATTATTATTGTAAAAAACGAAATAAAACAAAAGAATCGAAAAAAAAAAATACACGAAAAAGTTATGATAAAAAAAGAATTCACAATGTCTTAAAATTAAACACGCATTATATACAGTATGTGATATAGAAAATTATTATTATTAAAGTCTGCACAATTCTACAAATGTTAGGAAGGATATTTTCGCCATTCGTATTCGCCGGACTTCATGTTAGAAGGCCCACGACTGCGTTTACCCTTTACAGATCTCAACCGACGCTTTTCATACAAGCGACGAATGAATCCCGAGATGACAACATTGTCAGCAAATTCCATCTTTTTGATCTTGCCCAAGCATGGATAACATATCACTTGCCCAGTAGTCAAGGTCAATATAATCAAGCAAATCATCAGAATTTGGTTCGGGTCCGCTGCAGGGACTTGGAGTACCCATGCATGAATGGTTCAAACCTATAGAAAGGGCCGGGTAATGACTTGTTAAGGTAGGTACAGATATTGACTGTATCCTTACCATTACCAGATGCAAGAGGACTGTGTTCCAACACCGTCAAGCGGGTGTATAATGATCTCGGGTGATGGGAGTACGTTCTGCGACTGAAGTTGTTGTTGTTGTTGTTGCGATCGAAATCTATCACAATGTCTTCGAGTTTCATTTCAAGCGTTCGCACGCGTTTTGCCAGGCGCTCATTTTCTTCTCTGTGAGCCGTAAGCTCAGCAGCATGTCTTTCCCTCAGAGCAGTATTCTCTTCTTTCAGAGCCGTATTCTGTTCTTCAAGGTCAGCCAACTGCTGTCGCTTCTTGTTGCATGACATTTGCGCCGCATGCCGGTTTCTAAGAACCCTTTCTCTCGCACGGGTCTCTCTCTCTCTTCGGGACTTTCGGCTTTCCGTTTACGACCACACCTTGGCCTGCCCGAGGGTGGAGTCGTTGCGGGTTGTATTGGTATAACTGCCGGACGCAAAGACGTGTTCAAGGATGGGCCCTTGAAATGGAGCATAGCTCACTGTTAATGTATTGTTGTGTAAATCTTCGACTATCGATCTTTGGTGGGAACATTATACAGAAATGCCAGCCCATACGACCACAATTGTTTCAAAACGGCCAACAGCGCCTTGTCTGAATTCATGTATTTGTGACAGTCGACGCATATATTCTTCTCTTCCATCAAAGCACCATCCCATACGGCTTGATAATTGCGTCTTTTTGTGAAAACGTAACCACCAATCACATGACAACTCGTGTACTCTGGTGAGGCGTCAGTGATTACAGGGATCCTGCCAGGTCGCACAACCCGACACGTCGTACAGTCCATAATATTTCTATTTATGGAGGAGAAGCCATCTGAGTGTCCAATGAAAGGATGATATTTGATGTAAAATCTTTATTGAAAGTAAAACCGGTTTTTTATCGGTAATATATTATATATGGCGAGTCGTTTGGTAACACAATATTAAATTATTAAATATAATAATAATAGATAAGTAATAGATTTATTTTATTTATATATAGCTCTTGCAAACACGAAAAATTCTTAATTATTAAAATCAAAGACCTCTCTCTTCCTCCTAATAATATTGATACAATGGACGAACCGAATAATATGAACAATGATTATAACAACATCTGTCAATCGACTTACCCGGAGGACTTTAATTTTGATGACAACAATCCTCCAATTTACACGCCTGTTAATTTGCAATCCCAATATCATATTCAAGGTTTCCTCCCTCCTGCTACTCCTACTTCCTTTTCTCTCTCCGACGATGTTGATGCGATGCCAATAAATACACGTAGTATGGACCACGGGGATACTGGAACTTATACAGACGATTATACATCGTATCACGGTAACCCCTCTGAATATGGCGTTGACACAATGAACGGGCAGTTGAATCTACCGAGCCACGATCAAGTCGAAAACCATTCTTGTCCGCTTCCAGTATCTTTTCAGACAGTCTGTGGTCCCTCTGTCCCTCATTCTGATACGACAAACGACGGTCCGGCAGACAATAATTTTCAACACCTCAACAATACATGTATTTCATATATTCTTATACAAGTGCCCGCAAGCCACGAATACGTTGTTATGAGAGAAGAGCGGACTCAGTTAGGCAGAGTGTCTAGCATTGGCGAAATGTTAGCTTTGCTCGAATGTAAGAAAGAAAATTAAGGATCGTTTGTCCTTGTAGATGACAGTTATGCATTTCTTTCTTAGTATTAAAGTAACAAGTCTTCTTTGTGATTGGAAGGTATCATATCAATATATCCTGTATATGTTATAACTCATTACCAATATTTTATTAAATTGACTTTGAACATGTAAAAGTCGGTTATTCGTTTCCACGTTTATGACATTGGATCTGTTTTTTCTTAATCACTCTCGCAGACTATTAACCGATTTATAAAAACCGCCGGTTAAGCTAAATTTTCTGTAGTTTATTGTCGGTGTGACATGAGCGTACATACCGGAGCTAAGAAAACTTCTCCTTTGGAAATGAAGCTGTCTGGAGAAATTCCATGTCAAGTCTTCAGTTCTCTACCCTCCAAACCTGATTTGGTTTGTATGTAAAGCTTGGGCCGCGGTCATTGCTCGCATGACGTGGGCAAACCCTTTCACAAGCTTAAGGAAATAGATATATTGATAGAATGTTATCTTACTGAAGAATATAGACAGAGCGTTGATATGAATTTACCATGTAGCAATCAGAAGCCTATGTTTGACTACCCTGTATATTTAGAAACATTGAATTATTTTAAGTTGTTCTACTTGGTTACGAGATGGATAAAATCGCAGCCGGAAATTGATGATGTCAAAATGAGGACAGGGCGAAGGCGTTTGGTTCATGCGATATTGAGAGTTTATGCTCGTTCTCACGTACAGGTCAGGACATTGATTGTTCGATGGAAATCGTATGGTGAGGGTTCAGATTCCATTGTAGCGAAGACGATGCTATGATTCTTCTCGATTCCGAAGTTTCTCCATTGCTAGTAAAAACAAAGAAGCTGCATATTAGAAACCAGCGTCTTTTGTTAAAAATTACCTGGAGCTTTTAAAGATTTGGTATGTGGGACCGGTACAAACGTTGTTTGAAGAGACGAAATGAGTTATTCTGAAAAAAAATTTCGTTGTGTTTTCGTTGGGGATTGTATTAATAAATCTGTCTTCTATTAACTGACCAGAAAAGAATAGAACTAATTTTTACTGCGTGGATGGAAGACAGGGGAACTGATGATGAACAACGTCCGTTTGCTGTAATGCTTGAGCAAAATGAACTAGATGAATTGATTGTGCAACCGCCGCCTGGACTTAATAGATTTTTCGCTGTAATTAATGCTGGCATAATGCCACAGTCAAAGACATTAAGACTAATGGAGTTTCGTAGTATTAATTTTGCAACATATGAAAAGCCATTTGGAGCTTTACAAAAGTGTACGAGCATTGAAGTGATAGTATTTTAATGATATGGCTAAGGAATTGACATCGGCTTCGTTTCCGGTTTTAAGATCAGTAATAATAAGGGATTGCCAGCTTTGGACGAATGGGCAATGAAAAATGCGGGGGTAATATTAGCACTTACTGAAAAGCCAAAATCAAAGATTAGCGAGCCAGTCACTCATGCAAGTTACCCATCACAAACAACTACATAGATGATTATAGAATACGGTATGATTGCGGTTTTGTTTTGCTTTGTATTTTCTTTCTTCAGTGACATTATCAAGACAATTTAATTGCTATATAGACTATAATTAAGATAAACCATATGTATGTATTATTAATGACAAATGAAATACTGAAAAAACAAAGTCATAGGATAGCCTTGTTGATCGCAACAACAAAGAGGAAGCCGTAACGTTTCACACGTACTAACTTAAAATGTATGTATATAATGATATGGCGCTAAGGAATTGACATCGGCTTCGTTTCCGGTTTGAAGATCGGTTATTGGAGACTTGTGTTCTCATTTATTACGTTAGAGCTGGGCATTGGCATAAGAATATATGAAATAGATCGATTGCCCGTCGGTGTTAACGCGAGACTGAGGGGATATAATGTTGTACGATTTCTAATATTTCCGTCGTGCACAGTATTCGTCGACATCATATCGACATTACTATGGAGAGAAAAAGAAGAAGCAGCAGAAGGATGGAAATCTTGAGTATGAGGTTGGGTTTGTATGACAACAGAAAAAGAGTAATGTAACAATAGCAAGCGAGCTACTCATACGTCAAAAAGTAAGTGAGATTCTAACAATGGACGATTTGCTTGTTGGCAACGGTCAGGGTTTATATTATTAATCCTGCATTATCAAATGTGTTCAACAAAGACCGCAACGTTGAAACGATATTTTATCCACAGTTTTTTATCCGATCATTCAAACTTTGCCGATTTGATACATGTCGGAATGCGACTATCATTTTCGATGAGCACAGTCCGGCTATGGGACTCACATAAGTCTGACTGACGCTATATCAACATTGTCATGTATATATTTACGGTTTAACTCCCAAGCTAGAAGTCGGCAATATAACACACATTACACACATTACACACATTACACACATTACGATAATTCACAGTGCACCATACTCTCTTTTATTTGACGTCAAATATTTGAACGCATGATAGACATATATATAATAAAAAATTCAAAACTATCTACTTGTTGGCCTCCTGCTTCGCAGCACCCGTCGTTTTATCTGCCTGGCCTTCAGCCTGCCATTGTTCGTTACCGAGTGCAGTGCCGACTGTATTTTTGATATTACCCTTGGCCTTGTCGGTCGTTCCTAAGAAAATGACAAGTTGAAAGTGTTTATTTAATGCAAATAGTCAATAAAGACGACAATTTTACAGCTGTTGATATTATTACTACTTACCCTCCGCTTGGCCTTTTGTTTTGGCCGCCTCGACCTCGGCCATGCCCTTGTTTTTGGCATAAGTACCCTCAGCTTGAAGTTTTTCATTGCCCAGGACTTGACCTATTTTCTCTTTGGCAGCGCCTGTGTAGTACTCCTTGTTTCCGGTTACTTTGGATGGCTCGTTGGTAGATTGGGTATTATCGTGGGAAGACATTTGAATATACGAGTTGTTGAGATTTGTGATTTGCGGAGACTGACTTTTTTTGACTTTTAAAAAGTTGATTTCTGAGGGAATTGACTTGCTGGTCTTCCAAGACCGTGCTTATATAGATTTGCATCTTTCTTGGGCGTAATACCTTGAGCTAAAACGCACAGTTGTTCATCATAACGTCACTTCGGCAAAGGTTTAACGATATTTGTGACATGCGGAAATGCGAATACCCAAATAGGTATAGCACCGCGAATGTGTGACATTAACATTGTCTAGATTTCCTAAATCATGACGTACTGTGTGATAAATTTGGTGGAATCACATATTATTTTACGCCACGCCTGTCTCGATCATTTTCATCAAATTGGCAAGATTTTATGATGAAAGCATAACACTAACGTTACTAATTCTAGCAACCTTAAAAATAGTTAAAAAGGAATCTGAAGAGAATCATTCTCATTATGTCTTGTAGTAAAAGTTGGTTTAGTAAATAACGGACGTAATCTTAGCAAGGCGATACAATATTTTAATGTTTACATCAACAGATTATTCATGACGTCGACGAATAACAGTTTCCGCAATCTTTGTGGCGATCCTATGACGTTGTGTCTCGCTGAATTTACGTAATCATACAGTCGTTTCGATGTAATCATATTGTCGTCATTTATACGAAATTGCATCGATATGGGCGTCAAGTGACTCTACAAATCGAACCTGACGATATATCGGCAGAGACATAATTAATAAATCCAATTACAATTCTACTGATATGCTTATAATTTAATAATCTGCTGATGGCTTTTGTTAATAACTCAGCGTATAACTGACTTTATTAATGATGTATTATAGCGGATCCGAACTCGTTCGTCCGAAGTTTTGCTCGTTCCATACGAACAGTCATGTGAAGTATGCAAAATTTAACCATTTTAGGTTATCAAAATTATTGACGAATCATCGTTGTCTAATCACTATGTCATCATAAAAACCGTTGGTTGAATTCTTTCAGAATGACGTCGTTCTGAACCAACAATGAGAATGAGAGAAAGATCTGGAATTGAGGAGCCACTGACGATGATATAGGTAACTTGTAGGATTAAACGAGCATTCCTTTAGTCAAACTTGCATGAATTTCTGTCTACGTACATCGCTTGAGTTACGAACCTTGATTTTACGGTTTACTATCCGCCTCAAGATATTGGAAATATTAGCCGTAATTCCTCTTTTAAGGTCTTAATGACTTGACGTCTACTCCTATCGCTATATACCGTATCAGCTATACCAGACTAAATCTCTCTGGAAGCTACATTCACAATGATATACTGCTAAGTGAAAGAGATATCTGACACAAGCATATTAAGCAATTCATTTATCGATTATTAGTATCATAATTAAAGGCTACAACAATTACTAGCAAATAATAAGAGAAAAAACGACAATGATTTTTTACTTCATAATGTTGAATCATCGATTTGAACATACGAATAAAGAGAATAATAATATCAATTCGCATCGCATGATTAATATTCCTAACTATATCGTAAATGGAGAATTATTTACTTCCTATTCATAGGAAACACTTCAACGTTGAAGTAAAAAAAACCATTAGGAATATAATTGTCTATTGTTACGCAAATACAGTAAGTATATTTGTGGATGTTGCCGCAGTCAAAACGGCGAATGAAAGCAAATAAGAATATGGTTTGCTTTTCGAAATGAGTGTTTACTGTACAAAAATAAATTGGAAGAACCTCGAAAACGAAAAATGACAACTACATATAGGACTGTTCATAACGCACACGGCACGAATCACTTGGCATTCTAGTGAAAGTAAGCCAGCATTGCTTATTTGCAATCTCGCCTTGGAAATGATTTTATAAAGCTCAAGTTGAGGTTTTACCGAGTAAACAATAGGACGTAGAGAGGGCTACTCCTCGTAGATTTTGCTAATGCTAATGGCTATGTTCGAAGAAGAAGCCATTTCGTGATTCGAAACCTTACACTTCTCTGTTCAAGGGTTCAAAGGATATGCATTCCCAATAGACAATGGGGCGTAATCATTTACCTTGTTTAAGACACGTTTGCAACAATGCGTTATTTTTGGTGGAAATATATAAGGGCCGCTCTTCAACAACTGACTGATTAAAAAAGAGCATTATTTTATGCATTCTTTATCAATAACCCTATGCAAAGAGGAAATAACCAAAAGTGCTAATACTCTTGAAGCTCTCGCATCTGTTACGCATACCTACTGACGGTGTCTTTGAATACAAACCATCCATGTCCAATACTGCTTCTCGTAATTCACTACACCTTCCTTGCTATTACAGTTTTCAATAATGCCTTACTAGGGATCTTATTATTGACGCAGACCTAGCAACGTTAATTGAACGTACGTTGAGAGTGTGAATAATAAATGTCTGTCTCTCGAACAATTATCGAATAACGTTGTCATGCTCACTTTGCTGATGGGAGGGACGAGAAATGGGAAAAAGAGTGTAAGGAAGAAGTTGGTGGAACGGAGAAGTGGAATTGGAAGTGGGAAGAAGATTATAACGTTTATCTCTCATCGTCCTTGGACTCGTATGGATGTCTATAAAACTATGATGCTCACTACATATTTTTCGTAATAGTATCATCTCTACTTTCTCCCTTTCTTAATCCATGTTATTTAACGTCTCAAGATCTTCTAAGTATCTTATGTCCACAGCTTACATTTTGTACGTATTGCTATTCGACGAATATGTAACAAGCGCATTGAAAACTTTAACCTTTATTTGGTTAGTGTCAAACCGGGCACGTGTAAATTTTGTTCGTTTTAACATTAAGCATACATTATAGTTGCCTCCTACGTCCAGTCTCAAATAAGTACCTAATACTAGATAACAGACTGGATGGAATGGCACGTTGAAACTCTGGACTCGTGTGTCTGCTCGAGTCAAACGATCACCATTCAATTACGCGAAATTACCTCTTTGAAGAATTTCTTGAGACCTTTCTTCAAACATGCGTCAAGATCCACGAGACCACTAGTGATTCGATGCCTCAACAAGTAACGGAGCTAGAGAAAAAATCCTGGCAGTACGATTATGATCTGTCAAATACAGTATTCTGTTATAACTCACGGAAACTTGGTCGAGATTGTAATTGACATTGTACCTAAATTGCTACACGCTTTTGAGGAATATTCGAATGTCATATATCTGTGCATATATCTGAATGGTTACGCTGAAATGTTGAGGAGATGCGGATATAACAATAACGATGGATCGTCTGTCTACGGCATTAGACAATTGCCAAGTTGTTTGTTAATAGATTTCAAACAAAGGTTATTACAACCTACATGATGCTTGTCTTGCTCACAGTTTTGGGTCTAATACTGGATTCCAATGCGGTAGTTAACATTACGCGAGATGTCAACATTTTGAAACAAGCCTTAGTTTTCATGTGTTTACCATTTACCATATAGGTGCTTCTTGGTCCTGTTATGATTTACGATTGGGGAAATCGATGCGGCTTACGTCGATGTTGGATAACGGGAAGCAATATGGTGATAATGACAATGATGTTACTATGGTAGCAAATAGCCTCAATAATATTCTCTTCTCGTTTATCGAACATTCAGACATTTGGGCTCGTGGATATCGAGATGGAATGCAATTCGAGTCAGAAGCTTACAAGAATGAAAGCGATATTCTTCATGGATATCCTTTTGATAAGACGCGCAATGTTTATATATATCGGTGATTGTGACATTCTTAATTCATTACTCGAATGATGAACAAGAGTATGAGATAATGTCATTGGAATTCATGAGAGAAATGGTTCAGGAGATACCTTAAGAGGTAAGGAGCAGAGAACGACTTGTAAAGTGACGTCGCAAATAAAAAACACGTAGTTTTTAATATCATCGCTTCGATAAGGTGAATAGAATCTTTATCGGATCATTAGCTATCACTATGCTATTGGTATTCGGTGCATTAGTATAACAATAATTTCTAACACCAAGTTTGCATATTTTTTAATTGACTAGCACAACGTTATTCGTTAGATGAACATGCCTCATATTTCAAGATGTATTCTCGATCTCAGGGAAGGATCCATTGACGCTTGTCTTGGTGCATTCGGCGACGACGATGTTGAGACAGTAATCCATCGAATTTTAGAGGTTCGCTGCCCACAAACTGGATCGATTTATGCAACGGTAGGGATTGTCTTGTATACTGTTCTAGCTAACCCATTCAACTGAACATTTTGTTTATTACTCATAGACAGCGTCGGACGTTATCTTTCATGGTCGAGGAAAGTCCAATTTCCAACCGAAGGAATATCTTTGATATTGACGAATTTGACGTTTTCTCTGATCGTACTCTTGATCCCGCTCGGGTCGACGTAAGAAAGAAAAGTTATTGTTTATTATTGATTCAAGTCGTTAGTGAGTGAGATTGTACCTCATGACTCTGAATACGTCGTCTCCATC